AGAGAGAGAGAGAGAGAGAGAGAGAGAGAGAGAGAGAGAGAGAGAGAGAGAGAGAGAACTAAAACAAATCCAAAATGGAAAAATTCTCCGCTGCTGTATTCAACAGTTCCTCTTGCCAGGTTCAGGTGCTATGAGGGAATACTTCAGCGTCACACAGCACTGCATGTGTGTTCGGTATGGCTGTGTTGTGATGCTCAGTAGAAATTCAAGAAGCACATTTGCACTGTGATACTTGTCTTTATGCAATTATCGATTTGTTTCCTGTCTGTTGTCATTGCCTGTGACTCCTGCTATTTGATGAGCGTTCTTCACTGTGTGACTTTAACAGCATTTTTGCTGTGGCTATAAATGAGACATTGCTTAACAATCACATGGCACTTTGATATAAATAAAATGTTTCGTATTGTCACAAGGTACATTATTTCCTTTCCTCTTTTTCACTATCAACTATGTTGATATGTTTACTGAGTTCATTGGTTTATTACCAACGTATTTTCGCTTCCTTCCCAACAGGTTTCTGTTCTCTATTTTTGGTGCAAACTGACCTTTACATTGTTTGTGTCTGCAGCACTGAGTTCATCATATTACTTTCTTTATAGTTCCGCCAGTATGTTACAGAGTGAGGGTAGACCCAGTTGTGCTATCATGCCAAAACAGGTATCATAAATACATGGTTATCACTTGTCACACATCTACCGGACAGGGAGGGTGTTGAGTTGCATTATGGGAAATGTAGGATCCAGTGCTTTGGGGGCTAGACCCATATCTGAGACTAAAAGTCAGGATATCTGAGGCTCTGATGCTTTGATTTTGAAATTTTTTTTATTATTTATCTGTCCCCCACCATTATGGAAATAGACTACTAAATTGCTGCTGCAAAAGTAAAATAAAACACAAATAAATATCAGGTCACTTAAGGGCTCAAATATCAGAGAATCACGCGTTTCACATATTTAGACCTGGTTCCACCAGACCTCCGAACCACCACCCACTTCTCAGATTTGTTCATTGGTTCAAATTAAATAATTTTTTGATCTTTTGTTTTTTCAACAATTAAAACATAATTTTCATCACGTACGTCATAGATGTGAAATACTTCACACAATCTGGCTTCTTCTGTATGTTAATATTCAATCGTATTTTGGTTGTGTAATTGATTTTAGAAGGAAGAATACAAGTATCAGTTTCTTAGTAGATTAATGCTAAAAGCCTTACTATTTATGCTCTTGTTTATGAGCCCTCTAAGAAGTGAATTACAGTTCTATATTCCGTTAATGTGTGAATGGACAAAGCCATACTTGATTCTCAATGAATAGAAAAGGAAAATCGATCATTCAAATGTATTCCTCCGTATCTAACTACTGTATATGTGAAATAGTATCATGCCTTGCTAAACTTCATGACTGCGTAACAAATATCATTGGTATTACCGATTAACTTACGGTGCATCACAATATATCAAGTAGCGTCATCTATCAATCACCGACATTGTTTTCCTGGCATACATAAGTCTGACGACCAGAGGACCGCTGATCTATCACGGATCTTCTTTTTCAAGCACCAGCAGCATCAAAGTGTTCCACCATAGCTCTTGTTGTCTGGTGAACTGATGCTATCTTGTGGACAAAATGTGAAGTGAGACCAAACGTGTCCACTTTAAAAGAACAACTTCTCCGTCTACTGCAGGATAATCAATGAACACACATGACAATAAAGTAAGAGGCGGAGAAAAGAAAGCCGTCATTCGCTCAAAGTTTATTAAATACACATCGGAAAATAAATCTCTGTTACGATCCATAGCTTATTACAGAATGTGCATGTCTGCAAAGAAGCAGATGTGGAGGGGTGACACAAGCACTGTATGTAGATGATCCGTCACAGTCCAAGTGAAGTCTCGTAGGTTTCCACTGAAGTTGATCAGAACCTGACGAGCACAGTGTATCATGCTGGGAAATAGCACAAGCAGTCAGATACCTGCAGCCAACACCAGCGGTCCATGAACAGTTTGTACACAAAACTAGTGTCCTCCACGTTTTCTTTTTGTTTTTCAGACTTTCGGCAGCGACTTTATTATTTGAACTACCCAACTCATCGTACTGACATCAGCCTGTTAATGCCCTCCACCTCCAGAGTGCTCGCTTACACACACTGTTCATCAACAGTAAGACCTTTCCTGTTATCCATTCATTGACTTTTGATCAAACTCCATACAAACATGTTTCACAATACTTCATGAATATTAGTATCCTGAGCTTTAGCGTCACGTGATCTAAATGCTGCTTCAGATGAATGGTTATCCTGTCAGTAGTCACACTGATTCATACAAACGCATGAACAACAATCCAAACATTGTACATGTCACCTCAAAATATTTAATACTGGCAGCCTTGATCCAATGAGAAGAAATCATTTGGTTATCAGCAATTCTTAACCAACACTGGATGAACTCCAGCATGAACTCAGTCTTGCATGGCACAACGTATCAGGTTTAAAAAGGTAAATCTCATCGTCTGTTCATACTAAACTGTGCCGTCATTAATGTTCTTGACAGAATCATTAACGTCGCTGTTCTTGAGTTGCAACACAGACGTTTCTTTTGAAATCATGAGGCGACGTGGCTGTGAACAATGATCTGGTAATATTGAGTGTGGCAAAGTGTCGGTGAAACACCATCTCAGTGAAAGGTTGTCCAGCAGAATGTAACGTTCATGTACACTGACAGAGTAGTACATTCTGGACTAAAGCTTGTTTAGAGTGTGAAGCGTGCGTGAGCAAATATTTTTGAAAGGTCTTTTGTGTCTACGACTTCAGTTATTTGATGGACAACAACCACATTGCTATGATTATTGTGCACAGTTTGCTTATTCTGGTGCTGTTTGCAGTGAAAAAAAAAATACTGGTTCCTCTGTATTGCCTCTAAAACCAATGTTGAGTTAATTAGCTGGACTATAGGTGCTCTTCACCGACCTACAGTATGTACAGTACCTTCAAGGCTTACAGCCTCATTGCTTGAATCATGTTTATTATTGCTGCCAAGAATATACATCTTAACTGAATTCTAAATCCATGAACTGAACAGAAGGATAAAACAGAATCTTTTCAACTAAACCATTTCTTTAAACACACAACCGATATCATGCGTTGAGTCTTTTCTTCATGTGTCTAACACACATCTGTAACATTAAAACAAATAAAGAAATATGGGATAAAAAGTAAAATATGTGACGCACATCTTCTGGGATTCTGTTTCCTTTGACACGACTCTCACTGAAAACACAGACAGATGATCACAGCTGTCAACATGACTGCTGCCAACTTCTACGTGGAAAAAATGACATGTGCATGAGACCCCATTTACTAATGTGGTATAGATCATCAGAGGGCTTACTGTATCAAATAAATAATACTTTCTGCATTACAGTGAAGTGTGGTGTTTCTGATTCATAAGGGAGCTTGAAAAGATTAGCGCTCTCCTATATCTCACAGTTTGACAGCCTGTGTTCAGTGTCAGTGCACCCAGAGTTCAAGCTGTGCTCCTGAGAGTGTGTACATCCTTGAAGCAGACATACAGCATGGGCGACCTCAAAAGACACATTCTGAATTACGTCGTAAGGATGCCTGAGCTTGCAGAGTAGCAATGCATTCTGAAAACTGCTAACAGAAGAATGAAACTAGTGGTACTGTCGATGATTGAGTATGCAACAGACCTACAGTGGACATTGTTTTACCAAAATGTCACTTCCTTCAGCCGTCGACCACCGGTTCCTGCACAGCCTGGGCAGAAAAGGCCAAGTCATGTCGGACTACTTTAACTGAACTGGCTGCAATGCAGACGACCTGAGTCATGCTGCACATCACTGGTAACATTTGTTTCCCATCTGCAGGGAACAGCTGCCTCCTTCCACTTGAGAGCACATTGTGCTTCCTTTTCATCTTTCATTGTGTCCACAGTCAAGGACACAGATGCCAGTGCTAACCCCATGGTGTGCGACCAGCCAATCGCGATTAGGATGGCAACAAACTGACCCGACAGCTGAGCCACTGTAGAGAGCTCTTCCTCCTCCCACGGGACAAGTGCTGATCATGTGGGCGGCGGTGCTGAATCTCTTCCTCAGGCTACCTTTGTTTTGAGCCCAGAGAACCTAGAGCTGCAGACAAAACACAAAAAAAGACAGAAGATCATGTCCAAAACATTTCATACAGCTTATGTTACAACATATCATAAAAAAAGGGGGAGTTTTGTGGATGAAAATCATATTTAAAATGACCAAAACCTCCTCTTTGTATCAGCTGCACCCCATGTTATTTTCTGTGAGGGAACCACTGGATCGTGTAGTCCATAATATTGTACATGTCTTGTGTGCTCTGCTTATTTTTTCACTGATGCGTCTGTGTGGGAAAAAGGCAGCAACAGCATCCGCTTTGAGCGACTTTTTCGCCACATGAATGACCAGGGAGTGTTTACGCTGGTCCAGTCCGTCCCGGACCTCTGCATCTTCACCACCACCACTCGAATTTCTTTTTCTTCCTCCAGGACCGCCGTGTCACTCAAGATACCCCTCAAACACATCCAGCTCCGTGTCCGTGTCATAAGGGACAGAGGCCGGATCGGACAGCACCCCGAGGTCCACCAGCGCCTGGTCCATATCCTCGGGAAGAAATACTATCCCCACATTCAGGACGATGTACTCCATTAGAAAGGCATAATAGAGGATCAGGACGTTCACAAAGAACAGGCCCAGATAAAACATATATGGGAGTTCGTCCAACAGCGATTCTACCGAATCTAGCGGGGCATAAATTGGATGTGTCATAGAAAAGAAGGAGAGCCACGGTTTGTGTTGTTGCGGGGCCAGGATGTGGCGGACCGGAGTCGCTGGTGTCACCGCTAGAAATCTCTCTGGGGGGATGGGGCGTCCATCTCGGCTCGTCCCGACCTGCAAACAGTGATTGAGAGGCAGCTTTGAGTGCTAATGTATCTGCACGGTCCCGAAGAAATACGACAGCAACACAGGTAGACTTAAGGGTGTAGCATGCATAGCTAATAATAACCGGCGGACGGGATTAAAATACCACGTTAGTTAGCTCGACGCATTCTTGACATTGGTCCTTCGGGTTTGCCGAATTCACGCCATGCCAGCTGGCTAGGGCTAAAAACAGTAGCATACAATGCTAGTGTAAAACAAATGCGAACATTTCTATAAGTCAAGTTATTTGGAGTTTTCATGTATAAACAGCCGTACCGGGAAATACGAAACATTCACAAAAACACGCTTCTGGTGATGATTTAACAGCAAAACGTCCCTTCTAACATGTTACCGAACTACATCAAAACAGTCCTGACCACACAAAGCGTCATCGGAGGCATGGGCAGTTGATTGGCTCACCGCTTGTCAGGCTCTGTCGTGATTGGTCGTTGCGGTGCCGATCAGTTAAATAGCTCCTCGCGAGGACGTGTCGCCTGCTTTAATTGTCACTGCTAACACAGGAAGTGACTAGTGTAGTTTTAGAACCACTCGCTTTGTATGCTGTATCGAGGGTATATCTGTGGGATAAAACTACACCTCCCAGAAAAACCGTTCACAACCGCTGTTACGCAATGACCCCTCCGCGCAGCTATCGCCGCCTATCGCCTTCCGTTTGCTAAGTAGCTATCCACACGGGGGAAGTGGGTGTTATGTATAGATGCGGACACTAACGTTAGTAAAATAACGCGCCTGTCAAAACGTTACACCTCTTAAAACCACCACCATGTTTGGCCGGTCACGGAGCTGGGTTGGAGGACCGGGGAAACCGAAAAACATCCATTCCCTGGACCATTTGAAGTGAGTAGCTAAGTATTAGATATGCTAACGTTAGCCTCTATGATTACCGGTTGAGAATGACAGTCAGCGTTATCATTAGCTTAGTTGTAAACGTATAAAACAGTTAACCGTAGCTGTCCAGTCAGCTAATATGCCAGCATGTCGAGGCATGTTTGTTGTTCCGTTTGTTAAGGTAGTGTTGGACAGAAATGTGAGCTAACGTTAGCTGTTAAGTTAGCTCAGAAGTGAAAAGCCACCCTAATACAAAATTAACACTGTAACGTTAAATTTCTGTATCGTTTTTTGGAAAATTAAGTCAGTATTGATCATAAACTGTCCATACAAACTGGAAATCAGCTCAGGTTGAAGTAGATGGAAGCCTGTGCTCTCTATCACTGATGGGCACCAACGTCTATGTAACGTTACCAGTCAGGATGGAAGAACTTTTAAATTGTCCCCTCATAACAGGTGCAACAAATTACCCGTAGAGTGAGGGAGATAATCCAGCTCAGTCTGCACACACACACACACACACACACACACACAGAGAAGTAGTCCAATCAGGCGAAATAAGTGAAAACACCTGTGTGGGTGTACAGTGTTGGGGTTTTAATTTAATTGCTATTACATTACACTATTTGGAGATCCATTGAATATAAATAAGAGTTTTTTTTTTTGTTGTTGTACTATTCTGGCCTCCAGACATGTATTTGTATCACTTCAGTTTGTCTTCTGCTGTTAAGTTTTAGAGATAGATTTGTACACTGTATTACCGAGCTGTGCTTTTACCCTTGGTTTATGTTGTTCCATCAGGTATATGTACCATGTCTTGACCAAAAACACCACAGTGACAGACCACAACCGAAACCTTCTCGTGGAGACCATCCGCTCCATCACAGAGATCCTTATCTGGGGGGACCAGAATGACAGCTCTGTATTTGAGTAAGTACCAATCGATGTCTTTTTGACAAATCCCTCACCTGTACCTGCAGATGTGACTGCTGCGTGGGAATCATATTTAGATCTCTATTCATATAGGCAAGGTTTGCTAAATTTTGCTCTCTCCTTTACCTCACATTCATGCATTTGACCAGAAGCACACAGAAGAACTTTGAACAGGCGAACTTGTAAACCTTATCTCCAACATTAAACCTAATAGATGCATAATCATAGTCCAAGTCACACTCCTAGGCAATTTAATACTCTGACGCCCTCTTTTTTTCTATATTTCAACATTTCTAACAACCAAGTGGTTGTTTTCTGCTCTCTAACTGTGAACCATAAGTTAAACTGTGTATGTGCATCACAGAGATTACTGATTGTCTTTCTGTTGTGCTGGCTTTGCAGAGAGTAGTAACATTTTGACTTGAACATTGTATATTATACATATTTATCTACATTTCATTGCAAAACCCTGTTCAATGGCAAAAATATACAGTGTAATCCTGTATATAAAAATATATACATACAAGACTCAAGCTCATGAAACCATGGTGTTTTGTTCAGTCAGAAGCAGCTCTGCAATTAGTGCTGCATGTCATCATTGTTGGAATGCTGTTAAGCATCCAACTTCCAATTGTTATCCTATTCTTTATTGTTGGAATGCTGTTAAGGACACGTGTGCTATGACTTTTAATATTTCTAACCTTTAAACTTTTTGAATTATTAAGCTTTTTGCAACTTTTTTTTGAATGGGATGTCTATGGAGAATATTTTCAAATCCTCTTAAACTTCTTCAACTTTCTCATACTTTCAGCTACAGGCACCATTTCAACTTTAAAATGTTGAGAAAACCCTGAGCTATTGCAGAATGATTCAGCTTTGTGATATCTATTTAACTTTTTGAACTGCAGCAATTTAACTTTGACTTTTTAAGTCCTTTTCTGACTTTATAATGGGTGTGTATTGCGCAGCTTAGAGTGTGTGATGTCACCGCTAGAGTGAAGAGCAGCTTGAGATTCTTGCCACTGTGTCCACAATCTTCACTCTTCATGCATAATTTGTAGATGTAGAAGTAGCTAATCTTGTCCTTGTTGTAGACAAATGACTATGGAATCCCATAGATTTACACATTTGGCACAGAAGCCTGTTATTGAGAGGAAAACCAACTTTCTGCTCCATAGAGACCAATGTTAAATTTTGCTTCAAAAACATCTTCCACAGAACACGGTACCCCATTTCTAGATCGCCAGTTCAGCCACATTTTTTACACTACAGACACAATTTTTACAGGATCTGTTCTTCAACTCATCCTTCCTCTCATTTATTAATATCGGAGCAATAGGAGCTACGGTTATGGGAGTTTTGAGGATTTGTTTGAGAGGTGTTTCCCTGTTTTATCTCCATGAAAAGGCTGCAAGGACACAGGTGTTTCTGATTAAGCTAATTAGTGATGTTGATAAACACAGACTCACAGACACACACATTCTCTCTCTCTCTCTCTCTCTCTCTCTCTCTCTCTCTCTCTCTCTCTCTCTCTCTCATACAGTCATTCAGGTCTTAGAGATTTTAAGAGGACTCCCCCCCCCACACACACCCCATTTGAAAGTAAAGGCCCCACAAAATGAATTCTAACTGAAATGCTTGTGATGAAGCCTGTCATTTAATAACCTGTTTATGTTTATCTAACATTATGATTGTCTCCTCTCCCCTTCCCCCCCGCCCACACCCCATTTCAAAATAAAAGCCCCAAAGAGTGAATTCTAACTGAAATGCTTGTGATGAAGCCTGTCATTTAATAAACTCTGTTTGTGTCAAACATTAAGATTATGTCTCCTCTCCCGCACCCAGTCCCACCTTTTCAAAATAAAAGCCTCATGGATTAATTGTATTTAAATGTTAAGCTCAAAATTAGGCTTTTTTGTTGAAATAATGAATGCTCTTACTAATACTGCGACAACTACTGCTACTAATATTTCTAGTATCACTACTACTACTACTACTACTACTGCAACTTTTGCTGTTGCTACTACTACTACTACTACTGCTATTACTGATACCATCACTATTATTACTACCATTCCTGCTACTACTACAGCTATTAGTACGACTGCTACTAGTACTACTACTACTTCAAAAACTGACTTTACTATTACTACTACTACTTCTTCTACTACTACTGTTATATTAAATACTACGACCACTACTACAGCTATTACTACGACTACTGATACTACTTCTACTACTTCTTCTTCTAATTACTAATACTTCTACTACTACTAATACTTGGACTACAACATCTACTACTACTGCTACTACAAATATCACTACTGCTACAACTAGTACTTATTCAAATGCTACTAATACTTCTACTGCTAATAATACTTCTACAACAACTACAACTTCTACTACTACTACTACAACAAATATCACTACCGCTGAAATTTTTTTAAGCTACAGAAACCGTTCGAATATCAAAATGTTCAGCTCTTTCAGGAGAGGTGTGATATGACTTCATATTTGTAATCTTTCAACTTTTTGAATTATTAATCTTTTTGCAATTTTTTTTTAAATTGGATATCTATTTTCAGCAATGTTTTTGAGATTCCTTTCAGCATTCCAATGCATTTTCAGCAGGAAATGCATTTTCTAGTTTCTTCTACTTTGCCACCTCTGGCTTCATTTTATGAAACAGGAAATGGCTTAGAAGAGTAGAAAAGCCACAAAGGATGTTGAAAGATGAATTTATGTGATCAGGAAACCCTTAGACATTCTGATAATGATCTTCTTATAGATAAACAAAACATGAAATATCTATGGTGCAAAGTGCCTGAGTACTCTTATCATTCTGAACTCAGTATTTACTTTAGATACAGCCAGTCTGAGATCTGCTCCAACGAACAGTTGCTTGAGGTGAAATTGGCAGTATGTGAGGAGAGAAGAATTACATTGTACAGCATAAAAAAAATCTAATAAAGGCAATGTGCCAAAAAATAATCTTAAAAAAAGACATGAGAGAGGGGTGTATACATTCAATAAAGGTCCGTTGCCCTAATTAAGTATGTGCCATTGTGTGTGTATACAGTATGGGTCTAAACTACTAGTCCACCAGGATGCTGCTAAAGAGAATCATTCTTCTCTTTGATAAATATATTTGAAGATGAAATCATCATGAACTCTTTTTACGTGTTTGTGTGTGTGTGTTCAGCTTCTTCCTGGAGAAGAACATGTTTGCCTTCTTCCTGAACATCCTGCGTCAGAAGTCGGGCCGCTACGTGTGCGTCCAGCTCCTCCAGACTCTCAACATTCTGTTTGAGAACATCAGCCATGAGACTTCCCTTTGTGAGTATTTGAATTAACACTGGTTGACAAAATAAAGGATGTGATGCAACACATTGCAATTTAATAGCACTGTAACATGTAATGCATTTCTTAAAGTGTATTGTTTTAGAGTACAGTGTTCCCTTCTATAATCACTGGGCTCCTAGATGGTTCATAGAGAGATTTTTCATCATTTTACAAAAGGCCATCTTTTAAAAACGTGCTGTGTGAACAAGCCTGATGAAGTGTCTTCTCTTCTCAGATTACCTTTTGTCAAACAACCACGTGAACTCCATCATCGTCCACAAGTTTGACTTCTCGGATGAGGAGATCATGGCCTACTATATCTCCTTCCTCAAGACACTGTCACTCAAACTCAACACCCACACCGTGCACTTCTTTTACAACGAGGTGAGGCTATAGACGGGGAGGGGGGGGGGGGGGATAAGAGGGACATCGAGGGTCTTTTAGTTAACTGTCATCGTGCTCTCTCTATCACAAAGAGGAAGGAACAAAGTCAATATTAGAGGCTGAGAATTAAGGGAGTGAGAGATGGAGCAGATGATTAATACTCGCGAGACAAATAATAGCCTGCTGCTTAAATCAGCTATTACTACAACTTTAGATGTTTTTACTGGTACACAAAAACATCCTATGTACAGAGAGCCAGCTAAGTTGCTAAAACTCCAGAAGCTCATTTGTCACTTGCATCATGTGCAAGTTGAGTCAGCTTCCTGTGTAGATGGTTTGGTTCAGCCAATCTCATACACAAATCATCTTTCTCTTCACCAGCTGTAACAAACGCATAAATGTCAGTGTTGCCTTCAAAGTTATTCATTTATTATATTTGTTACTATTTATTTTCACATCTTGATTCTCTGAAAGGGAGTTTCAAAACAGATTGTATTCTTTATTTAAAACTATTCATAGATTATTATCATTCAGGCCTGTTGTTGTTGTTGTTGTTGTTGTTGTGTGTGTGTGGTGATAGAAACTTTAAAAAACTGACCACCTGAATATTAACTGATAACGTCGTTGTTACCGCTCAATGTTTCAGCAGAAGTAGTCTGTCCATTGGCCTGTGTGTGCTGGGGAGAGTTATTGGTGTACTGTCGATGGTTGCTTTGCCCCTGACTCCAAGACCAGACCCAACGTGTAGATCTGAGAGTATTTATGTATATTGTTTGATTAGCGATAGGAAATTAATCTTAGGACATTTGAGTAACTTAGCTGACATGCTGTCAGTCAAGCAAATCATATTTATGATACACAACTGCAAACTAGTCATGTTTTATAATGAATCCCTCACGTCATTTATTGAGAGTAATTTATATTGTGAAGATTTGGTGTTAATCTCCTCCAGAGGGCGCTATTGGACAGCTCATTACGTTGGCCACTTGTGTTGCTGTCAGATCTACACAGCTACATTTTTCAGACCAGAGGACACACTTTGGTTTGGGTTTGGTGTCGAGGTTCTTCATTTACTGCGACCTCTGTTGGTTTCTGGCCCTCCACTGTGATTGGCTGGAGGTCTCAGTGACTGAGGAACGGTTGGGTAGAGGATCAGGCACCGGCACAGAGAGAGATTGCTAAGATGCAGCCGGTTTACTAAATGTATGTTAGCACATGTTGCCCATCTAAAGAACTGTTAGATCAACTGAGTCTCTGAGTGCCTCTGTCAGGTTTCAGGATGAACCAAAAGCACCCAAATCAAAAGCTTACACTGTGTTCTTTTGATATGAAGTGTCAAAGACAAAACAGGCTCACTTATCTATCCAGTGTAGCATCCCTACTGACTGGATATTAAGAGTCATGAAACATTCATCATGAGTTCTGTAAGATGCGAGTTGTTCCATAAGGTAACTCGCAGGCTAGTTGTTAACATAAAGGGGAGAGATTCAGTGTCATACAGTAATTCTGAAAAACCTCAAAATAACGTAGAGTTTTGTGTCTTTGCCCAGACCTGCACTTTAACATTTATGGAACATTTTCTCCATTAAATAGAGAAATAAAAACCAGATTGTTACTTTTGTTAAGACCTTTGTTATCAAAATGCATTACTGCCTAGAGTTTCTGTCTCCACTAGAGCGCTCTCTCTCTTTCTCTCTCTGTCTCTCTCTCTTTCTCTCTCTGTCTCTCTCTCTCTGTCTCTCTGTGTGTGTGTGTGGTCGTTCGGCCTGAGCGCGGCGATGCAGTACAGTGCCTTGCTCACCGGCGCCCCCTCTCTGTCTCCCACACACAGCACACTAATGACTTTGCCCTGTACACCGAGGCCATTAAGTTTTTCAACCACCCTGAAAGCATGGTTCGCATCGCAGTCCGGACCATCACACTCAACGTCTACAAAGGTGAGTGCCGGGAACACGCATGCGCACATGCTAACCACACACACGTGTGTGTGTGTGTGTGTGTGTGTGTGTGTGTGTGCGCGCACACAAACACTCCCGGGATGCTGGGACTGTCTACCGCCTTTCTATGTCCTCCTGTCCTCTTCTTGCTGCTGCTTCTGGTGCATGAGCATGACCAGCAGGTAACTCTTTGACAAGCACACACAAGCTGCTTAGTTCTTGCTCTGAAATGTTTCATTGCTTTCTAATGGATGCGATTTACCGTCATTCCAGAGTAAAAGAGTGGCTCTCTAAAAGCCGGGTCTATTCCAAATGGTAGCTTTTTAAGCCGTTATTTAACAGACCTTTATTGGACGTTCTTCTAAAGGTTCTGCATTTAAAGTTGTACATACCAATCTGATATTATTCGTAGCTACCTGGTGCTAGTCAAGGCATTTCCAGTATCAAGAGAGTGTCCTGTTTCTTTACAGTAACACCATCTGCCATTATGCACATGTCTCTTCTAATGATATCTCACAGAGCAACTCTACAACACAGACTAGAAATTCAATAAATATTTGCTCAGAACCAGACCGATGAAAGCTGTTGACCTCTAATACTTGGATGAAAATCTGTAGAAATACTTGCAGTTCAGAATCTAAACACAGCAATATCTGCCTGTAACCCTTGAATCTCCGCAGTCAGCCAACAGCTTTGTGGGTCTAATGCAGAAAATGATCAAATTAGATAAAAATACTATCTGTTGCAGACTGTTATAATGTGCGACGTTTAAAGTAGCATCACCACAACGTTCAGTTATACTGCCTCACTGATTTACTTACTTATTATAAAGGAACTAACTCTTCTGCAAGTCCACTCTAACAAGCATGCAAAGTTCTTGAAGTCTTTCCACCCAGAAATCAATTGCAACATCAAGGCCTTTTCAAAATAAGTGCCCTATGAGTGCAGGAGCAGCACAACAGGACTGTTGATTTGTGCCGGCCTCTGCTGCTTCTTCATGCCGTCTCTCTGGCTCTGAGCTGCTCACTGTCGCTCCAGGGGATGCGGGTGGTGCATTTTAGCGGGTTTGGCTTTTTCTCCACACGTCGTGCTTCTCTTCATCACACATAACATTTACCTTCCTCAACATCCAGTCAGCTATGGCGTCCTGTCTGTTTAGCCCTGCATGTAACACGTTGCGCCGTACAGCTGTGTGTGTTACATTGTCCATAAAGTCTTGATTCTGTAACTCCCAACGCCATAACAGTTCGCTCAACTGACTTTAACCTTAGAAATACATGTCACTTATAAAGTAACCGAGTGGTGTTGGTAATGTATCAGTGCTGGTCTGGTCCATGTGCTATGCTATAGTAAGGAATCTGTCAAAGAGGGAAGCATCAACTCAATGCAGCTACTCTGACTGAGAATTATCAGGGGACCACACAGAACATCTGTATCCTGATGAGCAGGCTGAGACACTGCTGCAACGCAAGCTATTCATTGCATTATGCAGTCAAAAGTACAAAACACTTGTTCCAACACACCCCTGGCTGTTTTAATTACTTTCCTAAATGAACCCATAACTGAAATACTTGCAGTGTCACAACACTAGAAACGGGTCAGGATGTTGCAATAATAACCATTTTTAGCATAGCATAAAATTCTGATCATATCACGGTTTGATGCTTCCTACTGATTCCTTAAGTCATGCACTGCAACAAATGACAACCTGGAAAAGGATTTGTCAAGATATTAAAGTTGTTTGTTGTAATTTAATTATATTGTGATTGTTACTACACTAGCCTTTTCTCTGGTAACTTGCTGTTTGTTTCTGTTGTTGACATGCTACACAGTGAGAAAGCAATGTGATATCCTGAATGTTTAAAATGATACGGTAACATATGAACTCCTTTGCCAGATGTGCCATTGTTTGCAGTTTGTTAAAATACCTGCGGGGTCCTTCCCAACCTCCCCCCCCTTTACACACATTAACCCTGTGTCTGTTTTCCCCTCTCCCTCCTCCTCCTCCTCTTCAACAACCACTCCTCCTCCTCTCCTTGTCTCTCTCCTCCTCTCCCTCCTCCCTCCGCGTGCCCCATCTGCCAAACTCCAGTTTCATGTAAGTTGATTCGATTCATTCAGTCTTTTTATCTGTAGGGCTGGGTATCGTAGAGACGTGTCATGTTATTTTCTTTACTTATACTGTTACCAGTACAGTGGTGCCGATACAATTCTAAAACCCGTCAGTGTTTCTCTAAGAGGGTTGATTTTAGTATAGTTGCTGTTAATCTGAGACCTGTCTTTTATTGATTTTAATGCCTCAAATGTGTAATGTTTACAATAATTAGTTCAAGAAGAGTTATTGTTACTCTTTACATGTCAGTGTTTGTTGATACCCAGCCATGTTTGTTCTAAATGTACCAGAATGGATATCCTTATTGTTATTTTAAATCAATCTGTATCACCCACACACAGAAAACCCTGCATAGCTTTTTAATTCAATGTTTCTTGGCTTAATTGTTGCACAGTCTTGGTTTCCGTTGAGCTTCACATGGTGGTTGTTGTTTTGGTCTCTGTGGTTATTCAGTCAGTTTAATCCTCAGTTCATCCACTAACTGATGCAGCTGGAAGGACATTGTGACTCTGACTAGTGGCAGCTTATGATTTGTCTTTTTGTTTCCTGCTAATATGTAATTCATTCATCTGATTTGGCTGCTCATTCATTCCATGTCTCAATTTGACCCGTGTGGATTGGTAATGTGAAACAATAATCCGCTTTTATTTGCTTTTGCACTTCTTCTGGTCACATTTCAAGTCAGTGAACAGAAGTATCCAAAACTAGAAAGTTCTCCACCAGTTTAGCATTGCACTCCTATAAAACATTGAGAGACTCACGACGGGCAGTTTACAAAAAGGAAAAATTGGTGCAGCAGAGATACTGTCTTCTGTATTCCATTTGATGTGAAAAACTGCTGAGTTCCTATTTACCTTTCTCTACATGAATGGAATTTATTTAGTTTTTTAAACATTACACTCTGATGAATTTTGTGTCTTTCTTTACTACTTATACAAAGTTGGACCAAACCTGGCTCAGGTCTTGCTCTTGTCCAAAGATAACTCACTGAGTGCAGGTTCAGATCACAGGTTTGATTAAACAGACAGTAAATCAGTTATTACAGCGAGTAGCCCCAGTCCCACTGTGAGCTGAACTGGCTTTCCTCCTCATCGTACTCCAGTAGTATTCCCTTTAGATTGTAAACCAGCTCATGTACTTCATTTGACTTAGCATGCTTTGTTAATTTTCATAATTTGTCTCTTAACTTTAATGGTTTTGGTTCCTTTTTAAATCATATTTAACTGTCACATTGTGGTGATTCTTACATATGAGTGTGTGTGTGGGGTATTTGATACTTTTGGGCAACCCAGATATTAATCCTGACCCTTATCTCTGCAGTGGACAATCAGCACATGCTGCACTACATCCGAGATAAGACAGCGGTGCCATATTTCAGCAACCTGGTCTGGTTTATTGGCAGCCATGTCCTCGAACTGGACAAGTGTGTGCAGACAGATGAAGAGTAAGTGCCTTCCATCGTTGTTTCTAAGTGTAATTCTCACTGTGGCCTCTAGGGGTCAGGCACGTCTCTATTTTGTCTCCTCAAGGGAATGATGCTTTGTAAACATTACGTTATACTTTCACTTTTTCAATCACTGAATTCAACCGTTACATTTTATTTTAATCAACTTTCAAGTTAGAAGAAAGTGTTTTTCTTTTCGCTGCACACAATTGCAGCAAAAATAGTCCTACATTATGAATCTGCACATACATTAAGATGCTGTTGTGATACTAATGTACACTAATCGCGCAACATCTCAGTCTCTTTCTCTCTGCCTTTCTTTGTGTGCCAGACACAGGAACAGAGGGAAGTTAAGTGACCTGGTAGCGGAGCACCTTGACCACCTACACTATCTGAACGACATCCTCATCATCAACTGTGAATTCCTGAACGACGTATTGACCGACCACCTCCTCAACCGTCTGTTCCTGCCCCTCTATGTCTACTCTCTGGTGATCCCTGAGACGGTATGTGACCCTCATGTCCAAATGAATTAGTTCACACTGACGATAACGGGTTCTACGTGCAGAGCTGGTGTCCTATCAAAGATGCTCCTTCGATTTATTTTTATAAAAATAAGCACATGATGTGTTTTAACATGCTTTTGAAAATAACTTCCAGCGTTAACGGAAGGTGTACGCACATAAAATGTATTTAGCTTAAATACAAAAGCACTTCTACGGTCCTTTAAACAATTAAATGATTGATTACCAGACTAGCTCTATGCTTTGTCTCTCATCACTCTCTTCAGTTTAATCTCATTATGCAGTTCACGATTCCTTTCATTTTCTTATATGTACTGCATATGTGTGACATTGGCTGGCCTTTCATTTTTCTGTTTCTTTAGTCCGAAGAGCGAAAGATTAACCCTCAGGTGTCCCTCTACCTGCTGTCTCAAGTAAGCAACACACACACACACATCAGGTGCTGCCATCACCAGGGCACTGGTGTATTTCAGATGTGTGGAGTAAAGTGTCTACCGGCCACTTTGGTACATTTTAGTTTGTCCAGTTCTGAAACCTTTTAGGGAAACTGAACTCAGAGATATTTCTGTAACTGAAAAAGAGTTTCAGCTACATTTGTGTTGTTTTTGTGCCTTTGCTTTACTTTTCCATGTACGCTAAACATGTCCTATGAAGTCCTTTAGGGTTACTTTACCATACATCTTGTTCACATGTACTTCATTTAATTTTCAATGACCGGTTCTTGTTTTTAAAGATGTTTTGGATTACCTTCTTAATTGTGTATGTCTGCGTGTTTCCCAGGTGTTTCTGATCATCCACTATCAGCCGCTGGTCAACTCCCTGGCCGAAGTTATTCTCAATGGAGACCTGTCTGTCTTCACCCCACAGACGGATATACACAGCACACACAAGAATACGGTAATGCACACACACACACACACACACACAAACACACACACTTGAACATGCTGTATACACAAGCACTCAGCACTCAGAGAACCATCAATAAAAAAACACTTAATTGAAATATACGCCCACACACAGCCGAGTGTACATTGTGATACAGGGTCACACTAGCATATACATATACACACACCCGAGTGCAGCGCACAAACAAGAACACGCACACCTATGCAGGCAACTGCATGGATACACACACACACAGACTGGAGTTCCAGAAGTGTGTGTAGGTGGCTATGAGATCGTGGGCTCATGGTTTTCTCCATGAATCACCCACATCAAGGCAGATATGCTAATTATCTCCATAGCTTTTTCTTCTTTACATTTTTCAAGCAGTCTCTCCTTTCATCTTCCCCCCCGTCTAGGCCTTCCTTCTCTTTGTGTTTTCATCTGAATGTTATTTCCCTTCTCACTTTGTTTCCTTCTCTCTATCTCTCCCTCATCTGCCCCTTATCTTCCCCACCTGACTCTCCTCACCTCTCTACCTCTCTTTTTCTAAATCTCTCAACCTCCCAGTTTCTTCTTCTCCCGTGATACAGTTTCTCTTCTCTCACCCCCCCCCCCCCCCACCCCCGCGCTTTTCTTCATTTTTTGACCATCTGTTTGTAAAGTCAGGTGGGTGTGCTGAGCTAGTGAGCGTTTCTGAGAACTCTTGTGGTTATTCTTTGTGCTGTGTCTGTGCTGTGTGTGTGTGTGTGTGTGTGTGTGTGTGTGTGTGTGTGTGTGTGT